GTCCCAGATATCAGTGCCGTGGATGTTTGCGGACCATTATCACCCAGGAGGAGGGGGTAGGTTATGCCTGGGGCAGGCGTGTAAAGCTGGCTGGGCCTGGAACACGGCATTCGTTCCCAGGTCCGATGGCAGATTAGCTCAGATCCGCATTCATCTCGGGTCTGTGCTAGGTTAGCGCTTAGCTCCTGCGGTAAATCAAGCGGTGCTTCGCGTGCAGCGCTCTCCTTTTCATGGTTGAACCTCACTTCCTCCTGTTCTGCACCTGGAAGGCCACACACCTCCTCGAATCAGCAGGTCGCGATTTATTTCAGGGTCATGTGACCTCCAACCACTACATGTCAGATCCGCCGTTTGGCTTCCCCACCTGAGGTGAGACGAATGACACTCTTGGCGGGCTCTGTCTTGATCCACAGAAGTTCGGGTCCACATTCTTGATTCTGTTCTATGGATTTATGACTTATTGCTGACTCCTTTATACAAAGTAACTTATAGTAGAGGGAGGGATTGCAATTCATGTGCAACTCTTGGGATTTGAACCCACAACCTCTGCGTTTTTAGCTCAAGATTCTATTTGTTGAGCTATCGGAATTATAATATTACCGTTAGCGTATCTGCTGAAATGAAAAACCCTGCTCTTTCGGTTCGTGCGCCTGAGGAAGGAAATGTTACCAGCTGTCTTGCTAAAAAAAAGAGGGCAGACTCTGAAAAGAGGAGGAAGTTTCGCGCAAAGCTTGGGCAGCTCGTGGCTGCCAGGGGCCGCTGGCCTGAGGACCGTGACGTGCTGCATTCCGCAGGCGCATGTTGGTGCACACATGCACATAGAGGAGTGTCCCTAAGCCATGGAGATCCCCGTGTTGGGCGCCGGGGAGCCAATGGGAGTCGAGGGTCTTGTCATGCAACCGGAGGAAGTTGGGGGTACGGGATGGGGAAGTGGGCGGGGCCTCGGTCTCCCGACGAGCCGAGTCGAATGCCTGCCGGCATCCTGCCACAGCGGGGGAGGGGCTGGAGACGGTCCATGAACGATGAACGCATGTTGGACAGATGGAGGTGGAGGAGAGACAGGCGCGGAGGATAAATGAGGGCAGATGGAGGAGTAGAGGTGGAGTAGAGGTGGAGTAGAGCTGGAGGATGAGACTAATGGAGGGAGGAGATGGCCAGTCAGCCCGTCCAACACCAAACACCATCACCCCATCCATCGGCGTCCCAGCAAACATGCGATCGCGTGAATCGCCGTGTATTTATAGCATTTATCCTCCAGTGTCAGTGAGATTATTATTATTATACGTTCATCCATTTTCCGACCACTTACCCCAGACAGAGTCTCCCAGGCATCGGGATCCCATCCCGGGCAGCACAAGGAGGGGGGGCGCCCTGGACGGGATGCCAGGCCAGCGCACAGGGCACACGCACACACTAAGGGCAATTTCCAGATGCCAGTTAGCCTAACTGCACGTCCTTCAACTGCGGGAGGAGCTGAGACACCGACGGGCGGCATGAAGGGAGCATGCAAAGCCCACACAGACTCGACCCCCCAGCCCAGGAGGAGGGAGACAACAGCCCCACCCGTGGTTGTTATATGAGGTTATATATGTCATATAATGATATATAATGCAGAGATAGTTATATGAGGATGTAGATTAGTGCTGGACAGGGTGTTATTAGGGAGAAGACGGAGTCCTTAGGTGGCCAGGACTGGCGTCCCGTGGTGGGAACCTTGTTAACGGCGCGGCTCATCGGCGTACGTTCGGGGGCCGGACCCCGGGAACCAGCACAGAGCCTGAACAAAACAGCCCCCTCTGTGCCACCCCCCCATCTCTGTGCCCCCCCCCCCTCCACAGCTGCAGAGCACTCGAAGGCTGCTCCTGGCTGACAGGATTGAGTTCCATTGTGCGCTGAAGGAGCGCCGCTCGAGCGCTGTTTACAGCCCCCCCCCCCCCCATACACCGCATGCCAGCGGGAACAATGCAAGGGCCTTCCAGAGCCGAGCAGGACGCCGGGTCAGCGAGCGGCTGCTGTGAATCTCGCGTTTTCAATCCTCCGGGTGGGTGGTCCAGCCCTCCCAACACCTCCGGGAGGGCGATTAGCTCATCCACTTGGGGGCCGGGGGGGAAGGGGCGGGGGGCGCCCCCGTCCGTCCTCTGCGCTCCGATGTGACGATAGGAGGCACAGGACCGGGCTTGGGGGCCATTCAGGCCTGGATTAGACACCCGGCGAGTGGCCGGGTTCGGCTGTCCCTTGGCTGTTGGGTATATACTGGGTGGCAGGCAGTGCTAATCCTGGGCCTGATTACTTCTGGCGTGGTGAAATAAACAGCAATAAATGACACCCACCCCCCTCCCATCTCACACACACATACACACACACACACACACACACACACAAGTTGGTCTTCCTATCTAAATGGGGACCATCCATTCATTTCTATGGGAAAAACCCTAATCCCAATCACGACACCCTTAACCACTACGACACCCTTAACCACTACCAACCCAAATACAAGACTTTTGGCATTTTTACTTTTTTAATTGCATTCACTGATTTTAATAAAACTGAGGTTATCCAAATGGGGACCTCAAAAGATGTCCCCAAAAGTAGGGAGATTTCAGGTTTTACTACACTTTGGTGACAATTTGGTCCTCAAATGTGATCTATGCAAACCCACACACACACACACACACACACACACACATACCTCCTCCCTCAAACCCCAGTCCTCTGCATACCCAGAACCCTGATTCCAGACCTTCAGTCACGTCACTCAGCTTCAATATGCCAGAAACATTTTACTCGACAGCGCAGATGTGACGGAGACCTCGTTAAATAATGTTAATAGTGAAACCTCGTGGCGGTAAAGAAGTGCTCCCGTTCGACGCATGCTGAGTTTACGCTGAATTTTACACTCGATTACATCCAGGAAAGGTGAAAAACAATGAAGCCTCGGCATCTTGGAATTGCTGTAAATCTCCCCAGCAGCATTTTTGGCTGCCCTGCTCAAGAGTAACTCATTCTAAGTGGCGAGTTGTAATGAATACACAGTTCCTTTTAAACTGACCTGTTACCGCAATAATTGATTCCCTGAAAGAAAACACTCTATTTTTTTTATTACAAATAATCAGCTCCCCGAATTGTGAAATTAACATCTGTGTCTATAGCAGTACTGGTATTCATGGTTATAAAGCAATAATGTTTTTGTTGACTTGTGTTTTCTGTTTCTAACAATTCAAATTGATTTAGATTTAGACTGACTTAATTGATCCCAGGGGTCATCAATCAAGCAGTTGGTTGAATGGATGGATGGACGGATGGATGCAGGAGCATACCTAGAAATTCTGAGCCCTCTGGCAAAATGTCATTTTGCATTTTTACATTTTCAAGGGCCCCTGTCTAGTGTTGCCCCCCCTGAATCTGCCAGGGTATCCATGACCCTCTGACACCCATTTGTGGGTGAATTGTCAGATGGAAGGATGATTTTTATAGGTAGTGTAATTTTCAAACTCATGTTCCTCGTTTGGTAAGTGTGTCGTCTTCAGGAAAAGGCTATGAACGAGAAACTCAGTTAACAAGCGTTAACCTGTTTTGAACGTGTGACCGCTTTCGCAAGAAACCGCTTTCCTTGACGAACAGCGCCACCTTGTGTTAGAACTGCAAATTATGGAGCTGACTGTGGCAAAAGCGCGGAGCCGGTGTTCTGACAAAACGTCCTAATTTATCAAAACATCCTACCGTAGTACTAATCGATAGCCCTAACCCTAACTCTTACCCTAACCCCCCAAAAACCCTTACCTTCACCCTAACCCCAAAAAACTAACCCTAATCCCAAGACGGTGGAACTGCACATGCGCAGAAAGGCTCGATAGCGCGTCTCGATAGGTAGGATGTTTTGTCAGAACACTGTGTCAGGTTGGGATCACCAAAAACGTATCATCCTGACTTGTTATATTTCTTAAGTCGGTTTACCTGTCACAGTCTGCTGAGTACAATGCCACAATAACCAGGAGATCAGATTAATCGTTCGCGACTCTAAAGGCCAAATGGATTTCAAATCAGTATCTGTAAACTGAGTTTTCATATTTTAATACTAAAGAGAAGATAAATACCGATTAAACTGAATTTAATTAAATTACAGAATGTTCCATAAGTAGGCTATCTATCAAGCTTTTTAAACAACTGGTGCACTTTTGTAAGGATAACACTTACCGGTATATTAAAAATATATTTCAAATATATTTCCAATTTTCTGATAAGCACATGATTCAGTATTTGAAGTTATTTATTCAAAACAAAGCAGGAATGCAAGTACAGATGTAACTCTGACTGGCTATTGTTTCTTTTTTTTACGTTTCTTACTTTTTTTTTTTTGCAGGATCCTGTTTTGTGGTTAGATTAATTCCGATCGTCGCAGACGTCATGCCTCAGTTACTGAGGAAATCCACCTAGTTAAAGCAGACAAGACGTTTACGAGTTGATTATAACTTCTGGATGATGGAGCCGTCAATGTGCTGCCGCCTCATCCTGCTCGGTGAGTCATTGTCGGTCATTTTGCGTCTAAGCCGCGGGATGGATCTGAGCTGTCAAACGCAAATCCTAACGGCGCCGGTTTTGTTTCTAGGCGGTATGTTGATCACTGTCGCGGCCAGCAATTTCACCAGTAACAGCACTACTGCCATCACCCCCAACACATCCCGGCACGGTAATCATACAAATACAACGGCGTACGGGACCCACGGTGGAAATCATCACATCAATGAGACATCAACTGCACTCCCTTCAACCAACACTTCGGAGCGGACCAGAAGCCACGGTGAGGGCCTCCTTCTTCAAACGCTGTACTTCTATAGTCTTAAAGAACTGAAGTGGGCAGAGACTCCATCTTGATGTTGTGTGTCGGGACGCTCCCTAATCGCGTTTAATTTTCAGAAACTTTTGTCTGCATCCTGACCAATCTGAGCAAAGTGTGATGGAATAGATTTTGCGAAATGGGCCCCCTTGTGCTGATCAGACCCTTGGCCCCTGGGGGGTGGGTTAACCTAACCTAGAAGTAATGATAATCCAATAAGAGTTTAGGTAAGGAGCATTCCTATTGGATAATCATGACTTCTTGCTTAAGTTATCCCAGCTGAGAAATCCTGCTTCGTGGAACATCCCCCTGGTTTCATTGGATACCTTTTTAAAAAAAACATGTTTTTTGCATCTGCTGTGTCTGCTATATATGTCAGTCAATATTTTGCCACTAGAATTAGTAGCAAAGTGTGAAAATGATTACTGTGGAATTGCAGAACTGCTTGAGTAAATAGAAGTATGGCTTTTGGGATCATTGAGCAGTTACCGACCCGTGGCGCTCTGAGGTGACAGCACCCATTACCTTAGCTGCTGTAGCAAGACAAAGCTGCTTCCGTGACTCAGGAGCGAGTGTTGTGTCAGCGATGAAGACTGTTCTGCTTGCTGATGCTTAATGGGGAACTGCGGCCGATGTGATGTTGACATAGGAGTTTTAGGGAAAGGCTTTGAATGTGTTGCCGTATTGGTTTGAGATGCAGAACAGGAACGCAACCATGTAGCAATTATTTCACCAAGTATAGAGCTCTGGAAAAAAATAAGAGACCACAGCAAAATTTTCAGTTTCAATCATTTCTCAATTTATGGGTAAAATATACATTCTTTTGCAAACTGCAGCCTGGCTTCCCTGCTTCTCATTAATGAAGGGCTTCTTCCTTGCTTTATGGGACTTCAGTCTTGCTTCTAGGAGCCTGATACAAACTGTCCTAGCAGTGCACTTCACACCATTTAATGTTTCCCATCCTTCTTATAGGTCACTTGAAGTCATCCTATGATTCATGAGAAACTGTCAGATAAGTTGACGGTCATCTCTGGCATTAGAAAGTCGCTTCTGCCCTCTGCCTGGCTGGTTTTTGGTCATCGCCAGTGTCTCCTGCTTCACCTTATTCTTGTGTCCTGCTGTCTCAGAAACTTTGAGCCTGGAAGCAGCCTGCCGCACAGTGTAGCCTCTGCCAGCAGAACCAGGATTAAACCAGGATTTAAAAATGTGGATTTTTAAAACATATAGAGTGGTCTATTCATTTTTTCAGAGCTGTAGTATGCTGAGAATGACACAAAGATGTACACTACCAGTCACCATGCACACTACCAGTCAAACGTTTTTGCACACCACAGGGTTTTACCCCTTTTCCATTTATTTCATAAACTGCAGGTTTTTTATTCTTAAGTATTAGAAAGTTGAGTGACCAACTATAAATGAAAATCAAGTAAAAAATAAAACAAGTTTCCTTTATAACATGGAAAGAGTATGTAACAGTGCATGTCTGACATCCTATTAACTGGTTGTGTGGTGATGGCGCAGTCAAATTCATGGCTGTCCTTTAACTTTAAATGCACTTGTTAACCTTTTTATCCCATGAAACAGGGCAGTATTTTATGTCCCTTGTGGAAGGAATGGCTCAAATTTTCTCTGATGTTACAACTGCTATAGGAGGTCAATTTGATGACTCAAAGATACTCAAATAGTGAACTACTGTTAATTCATTTGTTAGCAAAGAATATCGAGTAACATGCAAATGCAGAAAATCTCAGTGTGTGCAAAAATCTTTGACTGGTAGTGTCCATTTTGGTTTTGGGGTATATTGGTATATACTGTAGTACACCCATTATAACACTTGTATTTTTTTCTCAGTGTTGTGTAAAGAACATAGCCGCACAACGTCCAGTGGTCAGAAGAATCATGCTTTGAGATGTTAATGTCAAACGGGGGACGCGGTCGTGTGTTCGTTTTCTAGAGACAGAGAGCAGTGGTAGTTACGGCATTTAAACTATGGCGTGTAGTTTTTGTGGCTTTGGTAGCGAAAGCTTCCGGAATGGCAGCGTCTTCAACCACGGGTAACTGACTGAAGAGCACGGAAACACTGTCGCCTCATGTCGTGACGGCCCCAGTTAACGGATTTCAACGCAGATAGACAATAATGGGAGATACTGCAGTGGTATCTGAGGTAGCATTAAGCAGCAATATAAAATAAAAACAATTTAAAAATCCTTAATTTTGGCAGTTATCTACAAATACCCATAATTACTGATATTTGTAATTAGATTTTTAATAGACTGCTGAATTAGTTAATTATGCATCCATTTTCTGAAACCAATGAATCCAAACTGGGGTTGTGGGGGACTAGAACCTATCCCAGGAACAATGGGTGCAGGCAGGAACCAACACACTGTAGGGTGTACACACTCACAACTACAGGGCCAATTTAGACACACCAATTAACCTACCCTGCACACCTTTGGACCATAGGAGGAAACCGGAGTCCCCAGCGAAAATGGTGGAGAGTGTGCGAGCTCTCCACCGTCCTGAGTTCGGAGAAGGTCCGAACTCAGGACCTTCTTGCTGTGAGGCAGCAGCGCTAACCACTGCACCACCATTCCACTCAATGAGAAAGTCATGAAAGTCTTTTTAGTTAGTATCTGTTTAATTAGTTGCTGTTACTTGGTATGGTTGCGCATCTAATTCAGTAGAATGCTGGTCTTCATCTGGCACTGCTGGTCATTTTTGTTTTGGTTTTTGTTGCAGGAACGATAGGACCGACTACATCCCGGCTAAAATCAGCTACGACAAGTGAGAGCATCCTTAAACATTGTGCTTTGCCTCCACCGTCTGAAAGATGCAGGAGGAAACATCAGCATATTGGATTTATAGCATATTTGAAGTGGAATATTGTTCATAATTTCATTAATCGGGAGGGGTTTAAGATGGTAGAATATTGTTTGACATCTGGTCATTGTTTTTGTTGCAGGACTGATACAGTCGACTACAACTCCCAGCAGCGGTGAGTTTAAAACACTGTGCATTCTCCGAGACAGGAGAAATTACTGAAGGAAACGACAGAATTTTGGCTTAGAAGAATCTTTGAATGAATGGAATATTTGCTTATGATTTCATAAACTTGTTTCATCTGTGTTCTGTGTTGCTTTGTTTTTCCTCAGAGGTCCATAGCAAAAACCTCGGTAAGAGAGACATTCGTTTAATCCATTGTGCGTTTGCCACATGCGTCCTCAGTAGCGATATATAAATGGAGATAACCGAATAACCAGGCACACAAACAAGCGTGTGTCACGATCCGCTCCGTTCGATCCCGATGTGTGCCACGCCCCTCATTATCCACGTGTGCTTTCCCGATCGTGCCCAGCTGTTCCTTGTTGTCTCGGCTTGTCTTTAGTATTTAGTCCGTGTCTGAGTCAGTCTTCCCCAGATCTGTCATTGATGTATTGTCTTGGTGTTCGTGCCTGTCAGCCAACCCATTACTATTAAACCCTGTTTGTCCGAAGTCACGGCTCCGCTTGCCTGCTTTCCTGCTCGCCTGCCTCATAGCCCTGACAGCGTGCTCGCATGTGAAAAAAATTAGAACTTTTACACGCTTATGTCAATGCAAGTGACACATATTGAAACCTGATTCTGAATAATTAACTCAGTTTCACAATTTCCTATTTCTTTTAGCGTATGTCATTATAATCATCGTCATAATTGTCGCCGTTCTTACCATACCATGTTTCTGCGTATTCAAAAAGAAAAAGGTACGTGATTTTTCTGTATGACATTAAGTGTCTCTGTTTGAAACACACCACTAAATCAGCTGGACCAACAATCCATAAACTTCGCATTGTTTGAGTTTTTTGTAGGCTTTTTTTCTGTTTCTGTGCACATTTGTTAATTCAGGAAGGGGGGGGCTTTCCAGTTCTCCCAGTATGTTTTGCTAACACGGTTAAGACCCTGATCCAGGCTTTCCTCTGTGACCACTGTGTTATACTGTATCTATAGGGTTACAACGTGGACAATCATGAGGATGCCGGCGTTCCGCTGAGCGCTATGGACCAGGACGCATTCGAAAGCTCATCGCCAAAAGGTGTGAAAGTCGCCTCTCTTCCTCATGTTACTATTTCCTGCCGAGCTCCTCTCACTCTGTCCCGTGTCGCAATAGGATTTCCGGCAGGAGAGCGAACGCCTCTAAAGGCTGCATTTTGAAAGCTCTGTTATCTCACTAGAAATTACCCCAGAGCTGAAGATATTCACAGCCAATGAGACCAGCGCAGAACCGAAGGCGTCGATGTCAGACGCTGTGCACGTCGCAGTGGGAGATGGGAAAGGTAAGGCCTATACATAAGTGTCATGCTAACCAGCCTCTAAAATAGTTTTATAAATGAAAGTTCCCTTACAAAGCGTCCCATAAACTTTGCTCACACTTCACTAAGAAGTGTAAAAAATGATCCTTCCATCATTTACACGGTTACGGGTAAGTCTGAAACTCAAGGTGGGGGACACCCTGGACACGGGGACACCCTGGACATGGGGACACCATAGACATGGGGACACCCTGGACACGGGGACACCCTGGACATGGGGACACCATAGACACGGGGACACTGAAACATTATGGGTAGTTGGAGACCCCAGTTCCTCATGTCACGTTTTTCTGTACTTTCATGGACGTAGGGTTAGGCTTACGGTTTGGGTTAGGGTTAGGGTTAGGCTTACGGTTTGGGTTAGGGTTAGGGTTAGGCTTACGGTTTGGGTTAGGGTTAGGGTTAGGGTTAGGCTTACGGTTTGGGTTAGGGAGGTGTGAGGTATCAGAGATATCCACTGAGCCATGGGTCAAATTTATGTGCTAATAAAATTGTTTCAGATTATCTTATGCCAATTACCACATAAAGAAATAAACAAAATCACCAAGTCAGTGGTGGTGGTTAGTACTGCTGCCTCACATCTCTGAGATCACGGTTTGAATCTCTGCCGTGGCTCCATGTGTGTGCATGTTCTCCCCGTGTCGTCGTGGGGTTTCCTCCGGGGATGCCGCTTTCTGTCCACAGTCCAAAAGCAGGCTGAGGTTAATTGGCGTTACCAAACTGCCCGTAGGTGCCCTCCTTTGGGCTGGCGCCCCATCCTGGGTTGTTCCCTGCCTTGTACCCGTAGCTGCTGGGATAGAATACAGACCCTCATAAACCTGAATAGGACAAGCAGTTACAGAAAGTGGATGGATGGATGGATGGATAAAATTCTGCCATAAGGGTTTTTTTTTCCCATAGGGGTATCCTTACATTCTCCAGTCTGTAGTTTTCCATGTGTATTTGGTGAAAGGCTAATGGGGTTAAATAATGACAAAAACCATCAATGGGAATTTTAGGAACTGCCAAATACCAGCTACCACACCAAATATCATAATCAATATGCTAGTCATGGTACATAAATGCTAATTTGACTGGCTACACAATGATTTTGTCCTATACTGGATTGCACCAGTTCTTGTATAATGTAAGCCTGATATTGTTACTTTATATAGCAGAGGGTAAATTGTCTTATTTTGGGGTTCATATTTCTCAACATTATGTGATCTGATGTAATACTTAGTTAGACTTCAAATGGGGGATTCATATTTACATGCCCCTTTTTTCCAAACCATTAAAATGGATTTTATGCTGTAGATATTTTGAATCTATATTTTCACGTCTGTTTCATTGCATTCCAACGACATGCCCACTCCTATTCACCTTGGTGCTCAAACAGTCCTGCAGTTCGGTTGAAGGCCCCATAGGAGGCGATGTAACCCGGGCAGACAGTACTCACCTAATACACGAGAAAAGGTTTGGTAATGGAAAACACACCAGTGTTGCCTTTTAATAATGCAAGATACAGGGATTATGCATTCTGATTAGCAAAGCTGAGCAATTGTATCTGCATTCTATAGTCAATGAGAGCTGCCACTGTATGTTTGCATTTGCTCTATAACCATTATGGTCTATGCTGGTTTGGTGCTGGTTAATGCTGGTTTGGTGCTGGTCTAGCAGCACGTCAAGCTGGCCCACCACCAACATTTCATTAATGATGCTGGTCCACCAGCACCAAAACACAACATATGCTGGTATAATCAGGATGCATTATACTGGTTATGCTGGTAGCCAGCTATGCTGGTCCATGCTGGTTTTGTAGGCAGGGTTATCTGGTTAATTGTGTGACAACCCATTACCGGCAGTTCATCTTTTCTGATGTAGCGAGGTCTGATTCACACGTACTTCGGTTTTGAAATACATCTGGTGTGAAAAAATATACCGTGGATAGAGCGGATGCCCCTTAAATTATGTAGTCACTTGGGACTTTTGTGCGTGACTACTTTCCTTGCTGAAAAAACCAACATAGACCAGCCGTAACCAGCACCAGACCTCATGCTGGTCTGTTTTTTTTTTTTTATCAGCTCTGTATAACATCTTCCCTTTTCAACAGTGTCGCTAAAATACAAGAGCAACCAGGTGTCTTTCCAGTTATAAGGACCACCGCTTTACTCGTGCAGAAAAAGGGCACGTACGCTACTAGCAGAGTTTTGCATGACGTAACGCAGGACCCCTGCGTAAGCAGTTGGAATATGGATTGATGTGAGGTATTGAGTACGTGGGGACACCCTGGACACGCGGACAAACCCGTAAACGCTAAATGAACTCTCATCATATGCCTCGGAAATAAGGGAGATGCCGCCAGAACATTTATCTCCCCGTCAGTTGTGGTCAAAGATGAGGGTCGGAGCCGGAAACAGACCGTTCAAGGTTTAATTGTGAATACGTATTTTAACGATTTATTTTAATATTATTATAAAACATAATAGTAATAAATAGTTTATTCCTACTTTTATGCAGCTTTGACATTATGATGCACGTCTATATTTCTGATCAAATACTCGAATGTATTAACAGAACAATAGATCAGTTTAACTCCCTAATACTTCGTTCTCATTTGGCAGAAGGGCAGTAAATAAAAATTGCCGTTTGCCCTGCATTTGCACAATGTTCCGGTTCTTCCAACAGTTAGACAACTCGAGCAGAAAACCACAGGCCAGCGTGACGTATCTTTATAGACAGTTGAAGTTTTCTTTCTTTCTTTCTTTTCTTTTTTTTTTAATAAGACATCGTTGATATCGTGATAAGGAGCTCCACAGTAATGGCAACCACAATCACTTACATCTGACTTGGACAGAATTGGTGCTTCATTAAGAATGGCTTTAAATCTATACAAATGCACAGACATCTGTTATTGCACATGCTTAACGCTTGTAGTTCTTCAGAAGTTAAACATTCGTCTGGAAGCTATCTGGGCGCCTCAACCGGTGGCTGCCCTTCGCGGACAGCTTGCTCTACAAAAGAGTAAGTTGAGGGAGACGTAAAGACAATTTCCCCAAGGGGATCAATAAAGTATCGATTAATTCAGCTAGACATTCAGCTGTAAGAAAGAGTGATTAAATGTGAGGCTCCTCCCTCCTTGTAAAATTCATTGCAATACTCAGTCGTACCACTAAGTGGAAGTGGTAACTCAGAGAATTTACACCACCTATAGTGACTTTGGGATTAACGCTTGTTTGGGTGGTCTCTACTCCGTTGTCGTTACATGGTTTTTAATTACAGTCTATAATAAAGGGATTTGGAAGGTTTATGTTGGGGAACGAGGATCCTTACATTGGTTTGAACAGGGAAGCCAACGTGTAGTATTAACTGCGGATATTCGTCTTTGTGTATTGAAAAGTCCACTTTTGACATCAGATACTGATCAGACATCTTAGTCTTCACTGGGGGGAGAGGTTAACGTCTCTGTCCATGACACATTATGGCATTATTCCTGCCCCCACAGTTAGTGCAGGACATTAGCCGAATACTTTGTGGAATAAAAGCCAGATCTTTGATGCATTTTTAGAATTTTTAGAGACCATCATCTAGATCAGGGTTGGGGAACCTGTTCCATGGAGGACCGGTGTCAGTGCAGGTTTTTTGGATGACCTCTCAACTTTGGGATTAATAGTTTTTAAGCATTTCACTGCAAGTTGTACTATGTATGATGATGCATGTGACAAATAAAATTTGAGTTTGAAAATTTGAATTTGAATTAGCCAATAAAACAGTGGCTCTCAACTCCAGTCCTGGGGACCCACTGTTATTGGCTGATTGACAGGTCTTCCCAAAAACCCTCACCGGCCCATCATGGAACAGGTTTCCCACCCCTGATCTAGAGAGTAGTTCTGCCAGTTTCTTTTCAATACTGTCATACGTCCGAGGAAGGAAGCGTAAGACTAAAGATAAAAATCTTACAGATTTCCTTTGGGAGTTCTTAATGCGACAATAGCAGCTATTTTAAAATCTGATTTAGCAATATGTTGGGTTGAGCTATTTTGAATTGGTTCTTTTAGTCCTTGGATGGAAGCTGCCTATTTTCAAATTCAAATTTTATTTGTCATATACACAGTCATATACAATACGATATACTGCCAGTATTTGTATAAATCTCTCTACATGTTGATGTTTAGACCAGGTGTAACTCACCCTTTCTGTGGCTCACGACCAGTGTTCATGTTTTATAGACATCCTCCATGTTCTTTCTGACTTTCTGTTGGGTAAGTGGCTTCCGGTGTGGATGGATAGATGTTTTTTGTTCCTGTTACCCTCAAGTTGGATAATTGTGATGGGAAGTGAAGGATATTTTGAGCGTCCCATGTGTCCTTAGAGATTATTTTTTTATTGTTTGGGGGTACTCTGCTCTCTGCCGGTATCATAATGGCTTTGTTGTGAGACAGCTTGCAGGGCCATTTCCGGAAGATTCTCAGGCCTGTCACTTACGGTAGGTCGCAGATGTGAGACTGCGAATCATCAGTTGTGCAGTAGGGGTGGGGGGGGGAGAGACACCTGGAGCACGTTGTTGTGTTTCACTCCAGTGACAGGCAGATCCGGAATGTTCTGCAGGGGTAGTGTTCAGGGATGCCTCTGCAGTATCCGCTCGAAGTCAACGGAACTTGTGTTTTAAGGGGAATTGGGCCTTTTGAAGGAGCACATGCTGTGAGCAAGTCAAAGCGATATCGCCTGCTTGTGCAAGTTAAACTCACGGCAATTTACAGTTTTTCTCAGTTGCTTTGACGCATTTCTCACAGCAGACTTAACAGTTGCATGACAGAGTGCATTTCTCAAAACACTTAGTGCAAATGGAAAAATGTCACGGATGACCGACAAAAGCAGGTGACCTCTTCAAAATACTTAGTCCACGCCTCAAAAGCGAGTTTTTCCATCACTGAACATGCAAGTGCCATCAAAATCTCAAGTCCAAGAATCACCGTCCACAGACATGACAGCCAGAATGTGATGTCATGTTATCAATATAAAATCGGCACAATCGAAACATTTTCTGATGCACAAAACATCTGAATGACAAGGGCAGGAATAAAAATAAAAAACAATGACTGCGGGAGATTGATTCAAGAAGAATATTTTATTGATTGCACTGGCATATGATGTCATACCAGCACTGCAACTGCAGTCTGGCAAAAATGCATTTTTGATGAAAAAAAAAACAATTACAAAATCAAAAAGGGGAACAATATATACAGACTGAAACTCTAAATGCTTTCTACAGTTGCTGGTCATCCTGTATATTGGGCCACATGTTCTCATCCACATCACAACGGATATCTTCCTTTGCAATGCAGCGTGGAAAGAACCTCCTAGAATGTCTTATCCAGCCTCTGCGGGTGCCTGCTGTTATATCCCCACACGCAGCTTCCATGGCAGCAAGCAGTGTCGTTTGTGTATGTGGGTTACGGTCATATACCTTCTACCTCCAAGCTGAGGAGAACTCCTCAATTGGGTTGAGGAATGGGGAATATGCTGGTAGGAATTCTGTCAGCATCCTGGGGTGGTTGGCAAACCTGATTGGGTTGGAGTGATGGAAACTCACATTATCACAAATGATCACATATTTAGGTACATTTTCTTGACCAATCTCCTCTTCAGGAATGAGATCCCCATAGAGGGTGTTCAAGAAGATAAGCAGATGTTAGGTGTTGTATGGCCCCACAAGAGGGATGCGAGTGTGGACCCCATTGTCCGAAATAGCCGCACACCTGGTGATGTTCCCACCCCAAAACCTGGCACATCAACAGTAGCTCTCTGTCCAATCAGATTACACCCATGTCTCCTTCCTTTGGCCACGTTGAAGCCAGTCTCATCCATGTATATGAAAATGGTGCAGGAATCATTAGTATTGTGAATACATACCAAAAAAAGTTGTGTAGAAACCTTTAAAATACACTTGACAGCTAATGATATCTTGTTGAACACTTTTGACTGCAATGATTTACACAATGACAAAATGATAAGTTTGTCTGGAGTGTATGACTATGTAAAAGAGGGCTAGCACAATGCATTTTGATCATCATGACATAAGCAACCGCTGATGTATGATATAGCTGAGAATTGCACATAAGCATCTGCCTGAGTGTACTAGAGCAATTGCAAAATGACGAAAACAACAAAGAAATGGCTGTTATGATCTGCACAACTGACTAGAGGTGGTGGGAATTGAACGAGCAGTTTTGAGAACTTCAATTCTGTTGTGAGAAATGCATCAAAGCAACTGAGAAAAACTAATATGATAAAAAAATTGTGCAAGACTGGGCTCATGTTGTCTAAAAATATTCTGCATTCCTGCCCTTTCTGGGGGGGTAAACCACAGCGCAGGGCAAAACAGCCCCCATCCCGCAGCCAAGCCTTATCACAGGTGAGCACTGAGATCTTTCCTGTCTCTCAAAATATTTAAATATTTGTGCCGCCATACTTCTTTGCAGTCACAATCTCCTTGGCTTGTTGACATCTCCTCCGTCGCTCTGCTCTCCGAAGTGGGTCCGTTCTTCAGCAAGTTCCTCACTTTCCCCTGCCTTCCCGCCATGGAAATAATTATCCCCGATCAGCATTTCACAGATTAGTAGCTTAATATTACAGGGTTGCTTCATTTAGAGGATATGCAATCTCCACTGACAAGGTGTAGTCTAACAAGATAGATACGTACAAGATGAGCAGAATCACAGGTATGAGTCGAAATACTTGTTGTGGGGTGTCACAGCAACTTGCAGTTGCGCAGGCAGTCCTGGAGGTGGAGTGACGGCAAAGGAACCGGTCATAACTAGAAGGTTGCAGGTTCGAAAGGCGAGGGGTGGAATACAGCCACCTATCCGTGTAGCACTAGGCGATGAGACAGGTAGATTTTATTCACAGTCAGCATGGACAGCCAGACAGAAGCCCTTGAAATGGTCTGACAGCGATAAGGGAGCAGAGGCCTGGATGCATAGAGAGCTAAACGTATTTTTGCCAAAACAGGCTAAATTCCTAGCAGCCTTGTTACGGGGGTCACACACTTCACACCAGGAGTATCACTAGAGATTTATGTAAAGGGGGGAGGGGGGCTAAGCCTTTATTGGGGGATCTGATTGTAATGAAAATGAAAGAGAACACACTATGAGTGACTCTGGTCTCCGAATGGAGGTGTGGGTTCGTATCGCACTTCTGACACAAACCACTAGGGGGCGATGAGTGGCTCAGCCAGCTAAGTCGCCATGCCCATGATCAGAAGGTCACCGTTTTGAATCCTTGCCTTGGTGGAGCAGTCACATATCCATGGGCCCTTGAGCGAGGCCTTTCACCCCCAGTGTTAGGGGCACTGTATGTTAGCTGATCCTCTACTGTGACAACCCCCCCCCCCAGCTATGGCGAGCAAGATGGGGTAGGCAAAGAGAAGAGCTCCAAATGTACCTGTACTTGTGCAATGGCCAATAAAGGATTATTATTATATTTATTTTCGGGGGCTAAAGCCCCCCTAACACAGCCCTAGCAACACCCCCGCTTCACACAGCATGTCCAGGCAAAGACCTTTCCTCTGGCAGGTCCCCCCTCCCTCTCACTTTCCTCTTGTTAGGTGTAAGCGTCTGCAAGCTCACTCTAAACACCGGCTTTCCTCCCTCACCTGCTGTTAAGTGGCACGTTCTCAATTACTGCATCACAGACAGGGCCGGCGGACCCGTTAGGGCTAATTACAGAACCGGGCCGGGCCCGCCGGCGGGAAGATGAAAGTTCTGAAGGAGGCGAGTGCTGAATGACAGAGCAGAGCACAGGGGAGGGCTTCACTGTCCCTGGAAGCAGGATGTCACAGCGACCGCTTCAGCCAGCTAATGACGGGGTCTGGCCCACCCCCCCACGGGGAGCAGCTGTGCCGGGTGGGCGGGTCCCTAATCGGCCCTCTGCTCTGGCCGGGGTGGTCAGCTGGTTCTCCCGTCGTTAAAAGCATCGCAAAACGTGCAACTAAATTTTATATCCAGGCTCCCTTGTTCTTATGTCGCGTGTTTATAACCGGCAGCAGGACCTCAGATCGCAGCTGATGGAATTCCACATTTAGTGTGGAAGGAACGCAGTTGCCAAAATTTGATTCGGAGTTTTGCGGCAACTTAAGACAAAGTAAACAGCATCGTGTACATTCACCTACACCTGGCAGCTCTGTAACAAAAACCTGGAACCTTCACTTAAGCAACATTAATAACACCTTCCATGAATGTCATGTCTATAAGAATCAATGAACACATTCAGAACACATTATTATGCATTCATAAAGCATTATAAACATGGCTATAATTATTTATAAAAAAGCATAACACATTATAACCATGTGTATTAAGCATTATGAATGCTTTATGAAGCTCTCATCTATAATGCACTATAGATACCTTCATAATGCAGTACAAAGCATCCTTAATTCTTATACAGAACAATTGTAATGCATTTTGGAGGTACAGTATAAACCGCTCATAGTGATCACATCTGTCTGGGTGTAATTGATCACTACAAGTAGATGATCATTATAACCAAATCTTTTTCTTTATGTCTCAGGCAGATTTCCTTCTAAATTACATTTGTATTTTTATTACATGAATATAAGGTAATAGAATGGACAGCATCATCGTTTACTGAATTTTACAGAGTCTTTCAAAATACAGTACAGTTGTTTAAAACACTTTTCAAATTACAGTACTGTACAAATGAAAGCACTGTGCCGTATAACTCAAATACACTATAACGCAGTATTGTATATAACACATATCTGAGATGAGTCTATATTTGTTGCAGAGAGAAAATGATGTGTTTTCTGTGCATGCAGAATTAGAATCAGGCAAAGTAGACAAATAATAAAAAAAGATTTTCCTTAATTTAAATTTTTTCCATGTTATTGCTTTGTATAAAAAGACCCAAAAGAACACTCTATGCAGACTGCTTGATTACTATAAGCGAATTATTTGAATGGTATTTATACAGGAATGATTCGGCCCCAAGCTTTTTGATACACATAAGTGGTTGATCACTATAACTGTGATCACTAAAAGCAGGTTTCACTCTATCTGTAGTGCATTATAGATGAGCTCTTCATTGGAGCTTATGAAGTATTATAATCAACACTATAATGCCTCATGACTGTCAATAGAAGACGCTGTAATGCGTAATTGTTATACTGAGCGTTCATGACAAGGGTGTAACTTTGGCTGGAACACTGGGGGGGGGGGTTGAGGTCTCCACCCATTACGGGAAAAAATGATTATTGGGGCGGTTGTATTAGCTGGTTTTGATTTATTGGGGGGGCTACATCCCCCCCATAATTTACGCCCATGGTTCATGACATATGCTAACAGTCAATAACCATCAATTACCCTTGATAGGCCCAGACTTGTATGTAAGAACTGCCCACTTTTTTGTTTATTTTTCTCAAGATTTAAAAACACAGCTATTAAACTTGATACCCTCCTTCTGAAATTAACTTAAGGGATGCCTTTCTAGACCAATAGATATTTAGTGGTGGATTTTGACAATGGGATGTTCTGAGAAAAGAAGACATAGCAGGTTGAAATTATGGTTGAACATGATAAGAATGAGTGAATATGAAAAATGCAAAAAATGCACAGAAGGACGATTTTGTTCTGCGTTCAGGCGAAGCGGGGAACTCTGTCAAGCAAGGCAGCACCAGTGCTCAGGCCCCAGTGGGCCAGTCCGAGGAGAAGCTGGACGACATCAAGCCAGGGGACACCGATGTCTCCAATCAGACCTCCGTGGAGTCACTGAAGGATCTCCCCAATGAGAACGGCGATGATAGGCCAGGCGCTGATGCGCTGAAAGGTTAGTATTGATGCTTAATGTCATCCAGTCCCAGATCTGGGGTGGTTCTCAGTATGTGTACTTTGTTTGTGATTAACATTGTATTTATGATACAACATATCATGAACATATAAACCACACGGCACAGTACAATATAAAGAGTTCAAAAGAAGCAGATAGTGACCATAGTCGATTACAGAGAGCTGATACAAATTGAGTCTACGAAATCAGTATGCGTACTTGACTGTTTTACGTCATCTTCCATTGCCGAAGACCAGTTACAGTACTCAAGAACAGAAGTACAGAGGACAGAAATCATCCCTGGATGTTGTTCTTGCCCCGCCCCATATGTCATGCATCGATTGCATCCTCACCAAACGAGACCAATCCCATGATTCATTGCGCCCCAAGTTCATTCTTGTGAGGCAAGTTAGCAAGACCAGTCCTGCCATGACCACTAGTACAATCTTTGTGCCCTTGGTACTGAGAAACACTCCTAGCAGAGGGCGCTTTGACATTTTCACGCCTGTGAGTAGTGAGGCAAGAGCTGTGAGGTCTTTGAAGGGATAGCTTTAAGATATCCTTATGTTTACCGGTCTATTTTACATATGACCATCAAATTAGCATGATGCTTCTCTACATTATTATAGGGGATCAGTGTGTATGAGACTGTAGTAAAAAGCTGTATCTCATAAATCATGTACAAACACTTAATCATGATTCTTGCAAACATCTCTGTCCTTAGAAGTCGGCTATATTGTTAATTAGGAAAGACCTTTGTTCAGGTTTGCATTTCTGTCATTTATATAAATGAATATGGTTGCAGTTTGGGTCTCTTAACCACTACGCCATCTGCTGTCCATCGTTTCTTGTTTTCCCAACAGTGGAGGCAGCCCACGGAGCCCCAGCTGAGAGCTTCTCCGAGGTCAAACTGGACGAGCCTGTTTAAGATGATGTTCATCTGGTGGGACGGATCTCACATGGTGAGCTCTGTATTGAGGTACCAGATCACCTCACAGCGGTGTGAGGAGTCTGCCCCCCCCCACCTGCATAAGATTATTGGCCTCTGGGTGGGGGTGGGGGGTGGGGGGGGGAGTAGGAATTCCCGCCCCGAGTGAAGACCGTCGACAGCAACCGATTATGTGCCTTGGTGCTACAGGATGGCAGGCATGTCTCTGTCAGCAGATTCCCTCTGATATGACAGGACCCCCCCCCCCCCCCCAAAGAACATATGTTCTTTCCTGTCAGTTACATTAGACATTTCATCTAAGAAACTTTAACTGTACTAAGTGGTTTATCATTTTCCACATATTAAAATATTACTGCAACAGTTCATGCTTAAGCATCTCGCTCAAGGGGCCAACAGCTTGTCACCTGTTGATCTCAGCATCTAAGTCCTTTTGAGGAAAAATACTCTTTGTCTACGCTCTATGAAGTTTGGACTGCACAGAGGGGCCAAATGGCACAGCACCAGTGAAACGGACCAAAGATGGTAGGAGTAGACTTTTGTGAGTCTTGCTGTGTGAGATGTGTGAGTCTATCAAGCCCCCAGGTGCTCCTGGTTCAGGCACTGACTTGTTGATAGCTCCAGGGGAATTAGGTCCATGTTCCCAGAGACTCATTGAAAGGGGCAGATAGCTTGTTTGGTTAAAGGAACTGGTTTGCACATGGATGGCGAGGGAAGGGTGGCTCCGCAGGTACCTTTAAAGAGAAAGCAAGAGTAGCCCACAGGGAGTATGACACAGGAAGAAGCCATTGAGCTTCCTGTTAGCGTTTATTTGACACGTTGTCATAGTAGCCTTCCATTTGAAGGCGTAAAGTCAAGATACTGGTGTGATTGTGCGTGTGTCAAAAAGAAAACATCATCTGCACTTTCCCTCAGACTCGCACCGTAGCAAGTGCTTCTGTGCATTTTAAAAATGTGTTCATTATGGGCTGCTTGCCTGTCAGTTTGAGGCATTTTTCCGTCTTCAGCAAGATAGCTGTGTGAAAGGGGAAATGGAAAAAATGTCATGAATGAAGAGAAAAACTGTCTGTGTAATATTTCTTACTGTTTGAAGCAGAACATATACATTAGTGATTTAGTGAAGGAATTATGTCACAATTTCAATAAGCATTTTACAAGGTCGGACTAGAGAAACAGCTCAGCTTTGGCGTGAAAGAAATTCCTATCAATTACAATTAATCTGGACCATGTCTTAATTACAGCCTTTGCCCGCCCCCCATTGGTATGGACAGATTCACTGTATTTGCACTTTTATTTCCAGTCGGAAGGCAGCTGAGACAGATTAAGACAGATAGTGAGGAATCGGGCCCCCAGAGGTCGTCCGGAGCAGATACACACAGCTGGCATTGTGCTGCCGCACGCTGGGCTCTATTCCAGGCCGGGCCCCGAGGATTTGGGGATTGAGGATTTGTAATGCTGCCCCGTGGCATCACTGGTGCACCAACCACCCCACCAGCCCGTATCGCATCTTGGGGCATGATTGATATTGGAGGGGGGGATTAGATTCTTCTGGGGGAATGTCTGGACGTGATGTAGGGCTTCTCAACACTAGGGAGTCTTTGACAAGTTACCTCCCTACCAACAGAGAACGGGGTCAGACTGAATGCTTCCTGACACATTTTTGCCGATGTGGTCATTTCACAGGTGACGGCTGCTGAGTGCCGAAGCCACGCCCGGCTATATGCGCGGCCCGCGGAGGCCTCATTGTCTCAGCCTCCCTCCAAACTAGCATATCTGTAACCTGACTGCAACTCGCCCGTTCCCCCACGGCGCAGCAAAAATGCGCTCTGCGGAAGATGAAGGGACGGCCCGGTCCGGTTTCATGTCTTCAGCTGTTCGCAAAAATGCAGACGGTGCCAGCCTGCGGCCGCGTGAATGTCAAATATTTGGATGTGGAGTCGCCGATATCACCTACCCTCCAATCCGTTAAAATACCGAGAAACCAGAAAAAAGAGGAGATTGTGGAGGAGAGATCTGGCCAAATCCTCTCGACGAAAACACACATGTCTAGAGTGTGATGGCGGTGAGGTCATTAGAACCACCATCCTTCGCCCATTCATCAGCTAATGAGACCACACACTGGCACAACCCACAACACAGGCCCATCAGAACCTGCACGGGATCTGGGTCGCTTCTATGTACCCCATGGTCCTGTTACCAGATTTCCCACCGTGTGTCCATCATGTGTGCAAATGAATGAAGATAATAAGAAAAACTTAGGGGCCATTAACTGTTTTTTAAAATTTATAATTATTATTTGGTGGTTCCATTTTGGATACTTGGAGTTCAAACACCACAAGGCATATAAATTCCACTAAAATGGCACAAAGGTCAATGCTTAAATTTACATTTTCTGTACATTGGATCATTGAATGCTTGCTTACCATTTGGGTTTTAGTCATTCATACATTCATTTGTTCGTTAATTGCACATTTTGTGACTGTAAGCTAAACAAATAACTTAGTAACTGTGAAGTTCAGCACACCTACAGAGGCTGTACTTAATCTACGTAACGTGTGGACACTCTGGCCAGACAGACCATTACTCACACTGTGGGGGCCGCTATTAGTGAAGAGCGTAGCACAGCTTCATAGCCATTTGTTAACTGCATTGGAATCCACCTGGCTAGCTTATTCACCTAAGCTGTTCATTCCTCATTCATGGCATCCTATAGAGGATCCATTGGTTGGGGTCAAACGTGCCCTTTTGCGGAGTCCCCCCATTGGTCGATGCCATCCAAAGCGAAGCCTGCAGATTTCATTAATCAGAGTCAAGCTGAGGTTCATTGCTGAGTTTTTTTTTTTAAACACTTAACCCACAAAGGATTATAGAGGACCGAAAATGAACTCTTTCACAGCAGCAATGGTTTTGGCTGGGCACCTTACAAAACCGTGTAGCTCAACCTAGGCCCTGACTATAACACTTGGGGTTTCTTTCAAATCTGCATATTAACAGAGAACGCATCAGGACTGTTGACATGATTCAGAGGGTGACGGGTCTCATCGATGTCTCAGAAATATCGGCAGGCGGTGAGTTTTGTCTTCAGGCTTCAGACTGGCGGTATAACGCGGTGATTTCACTCTTGTCTGAAACGTCAGCCTGTGCGGCTCCTGAGTTTCACGTGCTTTCCGTCACTCTGACATCACCACTCTGACCCCGAGAACCGATGATTATAAACTGATGACTCGTCCCAGCTCCCGGGAAAAGCAGCTGGCGTCTGAGTTGTTTCCAGTTGTGATGCCTTTCCCCTAACCTCCTCTCCGGCCCAGCTTCCGCACCAGACCTCAGGACTGTCATTGTCACATAAACGGTCAGAGGCCGATCAGGCCAATATCAGGTTACAGGGGGCCGGTTAGACCCGATCCCCGACGTCCCAGTAAATCTTCACTTTGTCCTTTCTCTCCCTCTATTTTTGAAGGAAGGCGTTAAGCCAAGCCAGGCAGTAATGCGATAGGGCCGAGCTGGGTGATTGACGAGGGCAAGGCTCAGTTGAGAGGCAGAAAGGGTCGCCTCTTATTTAAATGCTGCCCAGCTGTCCGGACTTTGCTTTTTAAAGCACCGTGGGCATCATTGGCGGCCATTCTTATTTTACTGAGCTAAATATAGAGGAATTCTGCGATGAATTTGCAAGTAGGTCACAGTGGGGGGTTAATTCGGCTGTGGCTCCCAGTGACCTTCATTGAGCTGCGGGTGCAATAGAGTTCTACTCTTATACCCTTTGTTCCCATTTTCTGACCATCAGGGGCACCTGGGTATGTTCAGGGTCTACGTAGACTACGTGGTTGGTGGTTACAGCATTAATTGATCACGCTACAGACCAGTCAGAACCAAATCATACTGTGTCTGCACATGCTGCCTGAATTAATAGAGTAAATTAAAAATAGGGCCAAATTAAAGGAGTCCAGATCAGATAACATGCATTTATAGCACACAAACAGATCAGAGAATTATTTCTCTGACTTGCTGGTGAAAGGTTTGTTGAAGCGCATCTTGTAATATATGATTACTGTGGTATACAGATTACTGGAACATCAGCATAAATCGGCTTAATAAAATCAGTTTTTAAATATGCTTTTAAAGGTTAAGGAACGTTTCCCATAGTCTGCTTGTTTTGGATTGTATACTTGGGTCATATACTGAATTTTTGTGTGTGCCTATGTTTTGTTTTATTCTCCTAATATAAACAAATGTGGGAAATTTGAGAAGGCTGAGAAGAGTATGATGCAAAAATACAAGTTGAAGTTTTTCGTGAATCTGTTTCGTAGGTCGTCACCGGTTCTCAGCGTGCAATACGCAAAGTCTCAGTGCTCAAAACGACGTGAATGACTAATCACGCAGTCAATGGCTTGCCAGCTGTAAAGGGAGTACAAGCAGCGATTTTATGAGCGCTGTAATTCCTGAGCCGTGCGCCGTCTTTCTGCTCGGATTCCTCGTCTTTCGACGACCCCTCTCATTGGGCGCTAAGTGAAAGGTCAGAGGTCGCCCAATCCTAATTAAAGGGTACACAATATCTTTGAGGGGGTGGATTGATGTATAACCTTCCTTACATTCCTCAATTGCCAATGAACAAGTCTATGCAAAGACAGCCGTTCTTCACACAAGACGGCAGACAGACACTCCTGCATGTTCAACACACTATGTACCTCTGGAGCGTGGTCTACTACGGGGGGGAGGGGGGGACTTAGCAGAGTCACAGTGCCGGAAGCTCTTTTTACCTGCAGTTTATGTGGTGTCCATTGTCATACCTCGTTGACACTGAAGGACAATAATAAATAAAGTAATAAACAGAAATTAATTAATAACAAACATTAATTAGAATTCCCTAAGACATTGAAGTCATATTTTTAAATGAATAATAGGAAGACCAAATAAGGGATCCTTTAAGAACTTTACCTTTAAAGTGTTTTGTTTGTTGTTCTGTTAGGTGGGGAGGTGCGGTGTTTGTGCTGTGCCCTTTGACCCTTGTGTTTTTATTAT